CAAATTTTTGAATCTTTATGATATTGAGAAACACCTTTAGGTCATAACTACTATTTTGAAATTAAGAGCATATAAAAATTTAAAAAAATGTTTCATAGTTTCTTCTCTTGTTGAAGTTTATACAAAGTTGTCTCCCACTAGCTAACCAAATAGAACATCTGCAACCTATATTCCTATATAGGCTATACAAGCTTCTCGTACTTCTATTAAGAGCCACGATGTACCTACTAATTAACGTTATCAAAGAGATATAATTGCTTTTGTGTTAGGAACTTCGAAGGTTGGGTTGCATCACCCACGCGTAATACAATTATTATTTCTTATTTACGTTAGTTTTCCTGTAGATACTGGAATATAAGTGTATACTATAGTATTGCGGATATAATTTTACGTTAATTTCTTATTTTAGGTTCCGTTTTATCAGCATTTAGCTACATTAAACTCATTATTTTGTTTACCAGGTTCGAAGCTTACAATGTTTCTAAACTATTCGTGTATTTAGGTAATAGAATTTTTAACGTTTTAAATTTAAGTAATGGGAATGGAAAATTTTTGGTCATTAAAAATGTTGTCCTTATTCAGAAAAGTCGATTAAAAATTCCATCCACCGAGAAAGTTTTTGGTATATATTTATCGAAATATAATCTAATAAAAACTCTAGTAAAATTTTTAGCGTAAATTTGTTATCCACAAAGTGTTTTAAATTTCATAATGCTAACTTCCTCGTTTATGTTATATGCACTATACATAAAGTTAAAAATTATCTGCATTTTATGTACAGACTTGTGTTTTTCTAGAATAATTTTTTAGCAAAACGTTTGTTTTTTAATTATAAAACAAAAAATCTTGTCTTAATAATACAAACATACGTAGAGTAGCAGAGTTTATAGGTCATTAAAAGCGGCGATTTGAAACAATAATCCAAACGTTCCTGAAACGCCAACTAGACATGAAAAGCTGAAGGACAAACCAGGACTCAGATTATATTATCTTTACAATGTGTTACTTTACCGTTTTGTTTTTAGTACACGAAAATGTATCTACTTCACCCCCATTTTATGTAACACTTTACGTAATACAATCGATAATAAAACACGTACACAATAGTGCTTTCGTCACGCAACTTTGTCAAGGATATTATGTATATCTATAATTACTTTATTGGCATTAAATATGATTGATTGCAATATAAATATAAACAACGTAACCATGTATGTCTAGGCAAGGGACGATTGCACCCCTAAGACATAATATGACCAAGGTTAGACGCCTCATTAATAACATGGCGTGGCGCTCCCCGCAAACAAAAGTCTAGCTTTTGGATTAACCCAGTGACCTTTACTTAAAGACATTGATATATAGGTGCATAGTATCAATGCGATTTAACATAACCTACCCTAACCTTAGATACTTGTTGCAATTTATGTTGATTTATTTACAATGTAATGTTTTAAAATTTTGATTAGTCTTTGTCATTGCAATCCTTTAATTTTATTTAAGTCATAAATAAGTTTAAATTCGAACTGTAATTGAATATACAGTGATTTTTATAATATTCTTTAGAATCAGTTATTGGCTCATCTGCTCCTTGATACCTTGGTACTTGGATATCTCTTTTTCTCATTGGAGTTTCGGGAAAATCGGTCCATATGATTTGCTATACTGTGTATACATTTTCTCAAAATGTGGTAAATTCTGCGACTCTTTAAATTGTTAGAATTTGTAATAAGATTTTGCAAAATTATTTGGAGATAGGATGACTAATAATAATAATACCTTTAAAGGATAATAAATAATAACATCCTTATATGAATCTCCTTGTTTGATAATTTAGTTATTGTTATTGATGTAATAGGTAACGATATTTGTAAGTCTTTTATTTAAATATCTAACACTCTTGTCCTTGTGGAAATTATATACGCCTGCTGAAGTATTTAATATCGTCGTAATATTTCTTTGAATTGAGTTAATTTTCCGTAAAACCATAAATTACTCTGGAATTGCGCAATTCTATTCTATTGCTAAATATGTAGGAATGCATCTAGAGACAATAAAACGGTGACATTTATTTGTTAACCCGTTGGTTGTTTAAGGTCGATGGCTAAATTGTTCCTGAACAAAAGCAGCAGCAGCAGCAGCGCCATCAAACCAATTACAATGCACTTTGCTATCTTCGTCCTCAACAACTGCACCCCGCTATTACAATAAAACTGCTACCGTACCAAAGACAATTTCATCCAGACAACGGTTTAGTTCAATTCGAAACGCTATTTCTATTAAGTTTCGCAGATAGGGAAAGTTTATACAAAAGAAGAACTCTAGATGTGTTTAATCCAGAGGAATTCCTTGTTACTTTGTCCTGTTTCACTTCGGTCTTATTTATCGTTAAACGGAATGAGAGAAAACGATTAAAAATGGGACAGGTACCGGTTTGGGTACGGTACCCTCTAAAATCACCACCCGATGCATCTCTACAAACTGTCTTTCTAAATTTAAAGGAACTTCTGAAAAGTGACAGATTAATTTACTAAACTTTTTATGAATTTATAATCACGTCTCCATATTCATTTTTAAATAACAATGAAAGAAATAGAAAGAAAATTAGGCAGATTTAATTGCGTATTCGATATTTTATCATAAGAAGAAAAGAAAGAATATTAAGTAATTAGAGAAAAAAAGTTTTAACTGAAGTAACTGTCTAATAAATTTCAAGATTAAATAACTTATGATGAAGAGGGAGTTTCTTAAGAAAAGAAATTTTCCGATTTATAATTATTTACTTCAAGGTTTGAAATGTTGCAATAAAAACACTCCTGGGTTTCCACATCTCTGAGTAAGCCCTTCGGAAGCTTTATTCTCTTGGAGCAAAAATAATTTAATTGCTCTACTTTTCTAGTTGTAAAGTAAACAGAATTAACAATTATTATTTTAACATTAAATGGTTTTGATGCAAAAGAATTAAACGTTTCTTACAATATTCGTTTTTGTTTTTGAAGGACTGTAAAAAAGTTTTCAATTTTATTGTAGGAAAAAACTCAAAGAATAAGGAAATAACTACAAAAGTTTGGCATAAGAATTTTAAAATAAGTGAATGTCAAAACTTCTTTTAATTAGTGTAGGCAAAATTTGTTCTTTAGGTTTCTAATAAGTAATCCTAAACTGAATTATTGCTTTTGTTATAAACAAAAAAAGTAACTTTCTAAATAGTTTATCTGTTATTTAAATTTTATAAAAACTTACGAAAATGAGTTGACAATTTATCTGTAAGAATGTGTATCGACCAAAGTTTTGAAAGATAACCAGATATTTCTTATTGTCCGAAAGTCGAAAGCAACTTTCCCGAAAGCACTGCCGAAGCTCTCAAGCAGCAGCTCGAATTGAGTTCACGAAAACACTGAGCTTTCGCAGCACACATTTTGAGCTTTTCGCGCCAACGGTGAACTTGCACCCCCCACCCCAAGTAAAAAGCGCAGAAACACTATTTCGAATTGAAAGGGTTGTCATCCCTAAACTACGATTAAATATTAGTAATTAGTATTTCTTTTAATCGACTTTTTGATTAAGATGTGATAGGTTAAATTGCCATTAAATGTCATTCCGGGATATAAAATTGCTTCAATAAGTTATTAATTTATTGCTTAACCATTTTGACAATATAAAGTACTATTAAAAAAAAAAAGAAAAACGTTTTGAATAATTACAATATCTTTTGCTAATATTTCTTAATTTGCGTCAAGTAAGCGCAAGTCTTTTTCATTATAATTATATAATTAGAGAATACCAACCAAATCTTTATGAATTTTTAAAACAGAGCAACCTAAGAATTTTGTGTTTAGATGAGGCAAATAAAAAATATTAGAAAAAATAATTGTTTAAATAATTAATAGCGTATTAAAGCTAAACGGTACAGCTGGGGCATTTTTATATTCGAAAAGGGCATTTAAAGTTCAATTTTTTAGTTCCACATTTAAGAAAAACAACAATTTGGCAGTACTTTAAAAGACAACATGTAAATTAGACAAAGAAGTTTATGGCATTTTCTGGAGACAATTTGCGTCATTTCTAATAATTTCCTTCACCTTTCACTTTTAAAGAGAGCTTTTTATATTTAGCAAACCATTTTAATTTTGTTCGCTAATTCTTGAATTCCTTTGTTAAATAAAAAAGCAATATTATTGTAGTAAAATTCTTTGGAAAATGGATTTCACCATCAACTTTCAATTCTTTCCCAGCGAAGTGGAAAACGCAAGTTTTAAGGCGTATTTGTATTCAAAGAAGCAGGAACATCCGTGAAATCAGTTAAAGCTGTTCTAGCTTCCCCAAAAAAAGGACCGAACTATTTCAACAAAAAAGAAATTCACCTTAATTTATTAAAGGCAATGTAATGGCTCAAGAAATATGTGAGAGGAATCGAAAGGGTCTTCAAATGTAAGGACTTTTAGGGCTTTGTCAACAACTCTTTTGACTTATCACTCCTTCTTATAGATGATTCTCATATTAAACAGGAAGGATATTTAAGAAATATTTTATTTATCATATTATACACGATAAATAAATTAGGAAAATAGAATACTTTGTGCATTTTATATGTTACAAGAAAATCAAAAGGATTTAAACAAAAAAAAAACACTAAAACACCGAAATCCTTTATAAAACTGGGTCTGCAACAGGAAATTAACGTTTTATTATCGAAAAATAATTAAAATTTGTATCTTGTCTTTTATTATTCTAGTCGTGCCTCAAGAACTTTGTTTTATTTCTGAATTGCCAGTAGCTTTAAGTTTAAAACGAGATATACTTACTCAAAATCTTTACAAGATAAATTTCTCATTTTGTTCATCTTGATCTCGATCTCATATGAACGACATCGAAATATTTTTTACTTTTGCGGCAGCGCTACATAAAAATCTAACGTTTCAACACCCCAAAGTATAAATTATCTGGGGATGTCACCTTGGTTGTCGAAACAGATTTTAGATTTCTAAACGTTTTATATGGAATTTCAGGTTTTCATCATTTTATTTAGTTTACATATCACAATATTTCGTGCTTTGTTTTTATGTCGTTAACATAATTAATTTCCTTCTAATAATTTATAATACAGATTTTTGAATTTTAAGTACGAATGGACAATTTTACCATAATTTAGTATCGACCTATTTCTTGAAATATCGTAAATGCTTCTCTATTAGGCGTCTAAATACATCGATACTCTTCACAAAATAATCAGGGCTTATATTTTTTCCTCCATGATTATCGAAATCGGTCTTTTTTGAAACCCCACTTAGCACCAGCAAAGTTTTAAAACCGCAAATTTTTCCCAATTGAACATCCTGGTCAAGACTACGAAAAAAACACAGTACAATTTCTAATATAAATTAACCTTAGTATTAATAACAATATATGAGTCTTTTCTTACTTAACGAATAAAATAAGCGCAAAATTTATCTTTACGTCCAAATTAAATAACGGGTCATAATACGAGGTTTTACCCGCGGCTTCACTCTCGTTGTTGTCCTAAATACGTGTCAAAGATCATCGACGACCACATAAAACTAATTTTTATATCCCTCGGGAACAGCGTTTCTGTTCTGAATAAAAGGTACCCTATATTCTCTTCTCTACCCCTGATAATGTGTGTACAAAATTTCGTCATGATGAGTTAGGTAGTTATGGCATGAAATGGTAACAAACAAACAAAGATAGAACAAAATAATTCGAAGTGGTCTGTATTCTGTCGAAACTACCAGACGCGGATCGCGATTTCGATTTTTTTGGATCTCATCAGCGCGTCGCAGGCAGTTTCGACAGAATACAGACCACTTCGAATTATTTTGTTCGATTATGGTAACGTGCCTATCACGTTGAGGTGAGCTACGCCGGGATTCGTTTCAGCAAGTAGATATCCATATTATTAAATGGACCTTGCTGGAGCATACGTAATCCTAAAATGTAGCATCATACTACAGATGGCGCTCACCACGCCATTTGTGGTATTTTCTAAAACAAAGATAGAATTATATACTTACGAATCCCCTATAACGATAGTTTTATTTGTCTTTATCCTCTTTTGCAAGTATTTTTTCATTTCAATTCCTGGTTTACCAAAGAGAATCGGCTCCTTCCCAGTTAATTCCTTCAGGATATCGTGGAGATAACCAGGACCTATTGTATTCAATAACAGGCATAAGTTATGAGAGATAAAGATAACGATGGAACTAATAAAATTACCCATTAATGTGACAGTATCATTAGCAGGTACTACTTTGTCAGACCCTGATCCAAATAGGACCACATTCGTTCCCTGAAGATATCTGATAGCCTTTTGAATACTACTACCGCTGAACATGAAGTCAACGTCGACATATACTGCTCCTACGTTCGAATCTACATCTTCAATGCTTTTCAAAAATGAGTCAAAACTGCTGTCGTCAATTGTATTCTAAAACAAATACTACTTAAAATTATTTTGATTAGTTCTACATAATCCTTTGCTTTTTGGATTGATCTTTGGGCCCGCGTTAAAAAATTAGATTTGTCTGTACTACGTTAAATTGTTAGTTTCGCGCTGACGTCCAGGTACATTTTCCTACATATTTGTTTTATCTGTTTTGATGTAAACGCATTTCATCATCATCATAAAGTCGTCAGTCCTAAGACTAGTTGGACACGCACCTCCACTCTTTCCTTTCCTGAGCTAATCTTTGCATTTCCCTAAAACCAGAACAATCCACATTCTTGACTGTTTGCGAACAGTAATCTATTATAGGTCTACCTCTACCTCTCCTAAGTCTCATTTCTGCCTCTATTTTATATCTTTCATTAGACCTTAATGCCTGAGAAGGTGCCTACCAACCTATCTAGACTATTTCTTATTGACTTCCATAGTCCTCTGTTCTTCTATTCTTTCTAATACCTCTTCATTTCTAACCTTCTCTATCTACGGTATCTTCATCATTCGCCTGTAACACCACATTTCGAACGCTTCTAACCTTTTCTTTTCCGCCGCGCCCACCGTCCATGTTTCGCACCCATACAGCGCCGCGGTCCAAACATACACCTTTAACAATCTTTTTCGAATTTCTAAACTAACTGTTCGCGAGCATAGAAGTGACTTCTTTTTATTGAAGGCGACTCTACCTTACGCTATCCTCTGTTTTATATTTCTACTATACCTTCCGTCCTGACTTATCTGGCTTCCCAGGTACCTAAAATCAACCACTTCTTCTAATTTTTCGCGTCTTATCTTTATATTCTCTCTTTCCCTACTTTTTCTTCCCTTACATTTATGAATCACAGAACACTTAACTACATTCGCTTATTGAATTCTATCTATCTTATTGAACTTTTCTTATACCATATACCTGACGTGCATCAATCAGTTGATATCCGGCTTCCTTGAGGTCCTCCTTCAATCCGTTTTGGCTAATACAATACATTTTTTTATTGAAATTATTCTCCTTAAGGTAATCGAGGGCAACAGTGATAGGTGTAACCAATTCGTTGTGTCTCACATTAAATCCTAATTGTTTTAATTTTACATGGTATTCCGACAATCGAAGGAGACTATTGTTAGATACAAAAAGGACATTCTTATCGTTTTCTTCCAATAAGTCAATGAATTCTTTGCTGCCAGGAAGCAGGGCCTTATAGAGAATTAAAACTCCTACGAATAATAAAACGAAATATTTACTAAAAAATGCCAGGAATTTAAAGAGAAAAATAGGAAGAGATCATTGACATAAAGCCGTATGAACTTTGTTTAAGATAAAATTATCTATATCTCTACAATTATTATTTACTGATATAATAAATAATATTTTACTAATATAATAAACCATATTACACAATAAAACTTTTGGTTTTTCTTCAGTTCCCAGCGGATTTGGAAGGGGAGAGGTGGGAATAGGAAAATCTTCGAAGTGGAGGAAAACCACAGAAAATTAAAAATAAAAGAAAAAATTTTCGATTTCATTTGTTTTCGCATCTTTTCCCCAACAAGGGAAACTTCTCTTACCCCCTCTCCCTAATGCCATGACTTAAAATACTGAAGCCTTATTTACCTTAAGGGTTAGTCCTATAGAACTTTGTTATTTCATATTTGTTTAACTTATTTACCCTAAATGGTTAGTCCTATAGGACTTTGTTATTTCATTTAAGATATTTTATTATCGAGAACTATAAAACTTCGTGATAAAATGGAGAAGTTTTCCTATTTTAGTTGTCGGACGTCATTTACGTGTGGCTGAAAATGAAACGTATCTAAACACTTTAACGACTGTTGTTTGTATGCTTTGTTTGCAAAGAGTTCTTTCAGCCCTTAGCATTCGTGACAACAAGTCGGCAATAAAGGCATTACCACAACGCTATCGCATCGAAATTTATTGCCCAGTTTCGGTTTTTTTTACATGTATACTTTGTCCGTTCCATAGCCTTGATCTGATCAAAAAAAAAGTGACGAAAAACCTTCGCGTTCGTTTCTCAACGATCGATACAACGGCATCCAATTTTCATGAGCTAAATCACTCTATAAGGATACAGGCTTAAGGATGTTTGGGAGGTACAATCGGAGACAAGAGTACATAAAATTAGAAATTCGTGATTAATTAGGTTTTGCAGCATATCGTGTGGTAAATAAATACCATCTATAGATAAAGAAAAAGTATGCGGTTTGAGAGAAAATTTGGAATTTGACCAAAAACTTTGAATAAAATAAGAAATAACTAATCATATGAAAAATTTTTAAGTGACTTTTAGCAGTGAATATGCCTTGATTTCAACTTCGAAACAAAAAAATATTTAATTTCAATCTCTATTAATAATAAGCGTAAAACTTTTTTTAAATAATAATTAAAACTTTAAAATTGCATTTATTTCAGACAATTATAAATAATATCAAGTAAAAACGAGATTTTCAGCTAATTTTTCATTTTTTCCTCGATAACCATTTAGTGAATTTGACTAACCTTACTCTGAAGTAATTCCCCAGAGTTCAAGTTATTTATTATAAAAGTTTGAAATTTCTGGTAACTCTTTTTCTGTTAATAAAAATTAATTTAGTCTGTTCGGTTAACGAATATCCATAAAATGACGTTTAAAATGACAATTTTTTAAAATTTCAATAATTTTTTAACGGTTTAGTGATTCAATTTGTAATTTTTACAGAAGTTTTAGAATTGAATTTTTATTGGTCTCGCAGCATTTTGACATACCTCCCAAACATCCTTAAGCAAATCGTTTGTGTATGTTGCCTGTTTTGACTTCTTTTTCATCCCGTTTTGTAGACGTATGTCAAGAAGAATGATTTTGATTGTGATCGTTAGCCTTTGCCTAAAGGAATCTTTTAAAAAGTGCAAGAAATTACTTTATCTTTGAAACTATGTGATGTTTTCATTCAAAGATTTATAATAAAAAAACTATGCATATTTTGATCCTCTACTATGCTTTTGACCGAAGGAAAACATAGACAAAAATAAGTGGAAAAAGTATTAATTATATATAAGCGTCATAATTGTAGTAATTGTAATGTCACTTGTCACTCACCATCTAAATCACATAAAACATTATCAAACGAATAAAAAAATTGTTGAAATCTTTTGCTGTCCAGTGTCTCCAAATCTATTGGATGCATTTTCTGTGTAGGTACAATTAAATTATTCACAATTTTCAATAACACAGGAACCATATACAACTAATTTAACATTGCCCGAAAACAAACGGTAGCAAACTGGAATTCTCCCACTAATTTAGAGAAACTTTATAGACTCAGAGTTCTAGGAGAAACTTGTCGTAAATAATTTCTTATAAAATTGTCGTGCTGTAAACCAATTATCTGAACGATTTATTTTTACTACGACCTTCTATCTTTGACCTGTATTAGCCTAACAAATAGTGAGAATATGCAACTGATAAATTGTATTCAATAAGTTTCATCAACGGAGTTATTAGAACGTTTCTGTTAGCGTTTCGTTTATTGTCTAGGCAGTTAAAGCGAGTAAGACGAAACTTTACTTTTTAACCTTGAAGTTAAACTCGAAAAAGGTAAAATAATTGTTCTTTCAACCATGAACCTTATACTTAAGATGATGTAAGATACATGTAACAACCGTTTTCGGAAATTTGTATACGTCATTTGAATACTTTTGCTACACAACAAGTCTCATTTTTTAGTTATTGATGAATTTCAAATGATACAAATATTTTGTATTTCATAATTTTATTTAAACTAGTTCGTATAAGTTTTATTACATGTCATGTTCTATACGTTTAATCCCCAAACTAAACGGCTACACTGGTTCCATAGTAACGGAACCCTTATAAATTTTTGTTAAATATATACTATAGTTACTTGAGAATAACAATAATAACGAAACCTTTAGGTAATTCTTATTTCAACTGCAGTAAGGGATCATTCATAAATAACATCACGCAAATTTTTCTATTGTGTAATCTTCCCTTCCTTGTCACAGGTGGCCACATTCGTGAAACCCCCTCCGCCGCCTTGTGTGACGTCACATATTTTTCAATTTTATATTTAGAAATAATTAAATTAAAACAGCAGTTTTAAATTTTCTTTTATTTTCATTTAAAATAAGCTTTAATAAAATCAACATAAAGTCAGATATTTTAAATAGTTGGCAATATACTATAGAACACTCGCCGACGACTGAAACCGACCTTATAGGTATAGATCTACCTAATAATATTTTTAAGATTTTTGTTTACATATGAATTTCGTGTTTTAATATTTTAAATTTGGACATGTGACGTCACAATGTTTTTGACCCTCCCTCCTGCCCATTGTCACATAATGTCACATTCCGTTGACCCCCTCGCCCCCTCTTAAGGTGTGACGTGACGAGATGTCATTTCAGTTATAATTTTGCGAAGCTAAGTTTAAATTTGCCCTCAGAATTGTCACATGACGATTTTAAAATAAAAACCTCAAAGGTCGTTTCGATGAGAGATTAACATTTCACAAATTTTCAATTTTGGAGCCAGATAGATTCGAGTTTACTGTAGAAAACTTCGATGAAAATGATTTTACCTTCTGCCTTCTACCCTTCTATGGCGAATCAAGATGGGTTGAGAAAGGTAATTGTCTTCGATGTATTTTTCGACAGTGAACCCAAATATGGCCCCAAAATTACTCAACTTGAAAATTACAGCGGAAAGAACTAACCCATTTTTTGTTTCCTTTTCAACTTTCAAACAAAAAACGCAATATTTCAATAAAATATACACTGTATTGCTTTCAAATCTCAATCGATCACAAAATAGTGTCAAAAGAATTAAAAAAAAGTCACGTAACTTTTGTCGATTAAATGAAGCTAAATTAGAATAATTAATTATATTGTCTACTAAAACATCTGTAAAAGCTTTATAATGATTCTTAAATGAAAACATTTAGGTATTAACGGGTTGTTGAAGAAATACTTTTATTGTTTAAATATAAATTCAACAAAAATAGAAAGGTTAAGTACTACTGTTTATTGAAATTTTTGTAATTTCAAAGACATAACAAATTTTCAGTATCTTTTTAAATTAATAGTTACTAATCACTATTTTGTTTAATGATTTCTCCTAATGTAAGCAAGTTCTTTATATAATAGTCGGGTAAAAACTCTTGATTTGCAGGATCATCTAGATCACTTTTTGCAGATACACCGCTTAAAACCAAAACGCTTTGATATCCGTAAAGTTTAGCAAATTTTACGTCTTGATGTAATCTAAAAATAAAATACTTATTAAAAACAACATATTTTTTAATCAAAAGACAGACACTTACGCGTCGCCGATGAACAGAGTTTTTGTTGGAGAATTAATTTTTTTAATGATATATTCGTTTATCAGTTTTTCCGGTTTTCCCATTAATAGGGGCTCCTTGCCTGTCATTGTTTTAATAATATCGAAGAAAAAACCAGGACCTACAAAAACATTATTTCATGTAATGTAAATAAGTATTTTTTTTAATAACTACATAGGCGCAAAAGAGTTTACTTTCTAAACTGACATCAGCGTTTCGCCTAAAAGCTTCATCAAGACAGGTTTCCTAGCCAATAATGTTTGGTATTTCCCCAGTCATATTAACAGAAAAAATTAAGTATAGAAAGATATTTCCAACATCGAGTCTGTTCTGCATAAAGAATTAATAAAATAAACTCTTTTTTTGGTCTGTACGTTAGCTTTAATTCTGCAGATACTCAAAAAGGTTTAAACAGATTTATGAAATTTCCAAACTTTACCTACCCATAAAGTTTATAGTGGGCATGACAGGTAACAGTTTATCCGCCCCCGAACCGAAAAGTAAAACTTCAGGTTTCTTCAAATATTCTATCGCTTGCTGTAAGGCAATATAATTAAAAGCAACATCATTATCGAAATAAACTGCCCCAACATCCGGATCTAGATCTTTCACAATAGGAAACAATGATAAAGGTGGTTTTCCTTCAATTTTTATCTGAAAACAACCATGGGTATAGTTTATATGTATAAGTACACATATTAAAAGTTTAATAAGGTGGTAAAAACATAATGCAATAGACTGACAACGAGAGCTAATATCGAACAAGAATTATCATGTTTTATGGCACTTTACTCCTTGGGGGTAGCAGATAGCGCGTTTGTATTTAAAAGATCAATGAATGGAAAGGCCAAAGCGTTTCAAAGATCCACGTCTGTTCGTATGAAAGGATCAAATTTGATATTAGTTGATGGACGTTGTGGATAATTTATATTGTAAACTATCGTTTTAACGAAGAAAATAAGACATTCACGAAGGTACACAAACGTTATCAATGATTTCGTTTTTAGTGAAAATTTTGGTGGAGGCGCCGGGGCCATTTAAAATAAAGGTTGTAATTAAACTATTATTTCGATTTCATTAAAGTAGATTCACATATTTTCATATTTTAATTACAATTTTTTCATGTAGATGCAGTAAGGATCCTAATTTATATATTCCTTTTTACACTTTGTAGTATTATAATATATGTATAGGCACCCCAACATACAGCAAATATTACAACTCTAACGTAACTTAAAAAAAGTCAATAAGTACTATCCTTGAACAAACTATAGATACACCTACCTAATATTACGTAGAACTAATTAATTGATTAGTAATATTTTTAAAGACATCATTCTTGACATCGGTTATGATTTTTTATTGAATAATTGCTTATTTTGTACTTGTCACATTTTTTTATTGAAATTAAAGTATAAAAAATTGAAATACAAATCATCCGATTTTCAAATAATAAAAAAACAAATGCATAAAAAATTCATGAAAATTGTTTGAGGAGCGCTTTTATTTATATTTTGATGAATGATCATACCTAAAGAAAAATCTTTAATGTCGAATTTCGATTTTTAACTTAAATATATTAAATTTTCCGTCTACCTCGTGTGCGTCAACAACTTCATATCCAGCATCTTGAAATTCCTTTTTAAGGCCCTGTATGGTGAAAAGAAATATCTTCTTTTTAAAATTAATTTCTTTTAAGTAATTAAGTATAACTGTAGTTGGATTAAATATGTGTCCGTCACGTATATTGTAACCATTGTTCCTTAATTTTTTGTGAAAATCATTTAGCGTTAAAACGCAGTTGTTTGTGACAAAATATATTTCTTTTCCCAGTTCTCTCATAAGTTCAATAGTATCTTTCGCGCCAGGTATTGGAACGCTCGCATTTTGAATAACACCTGCAAATAATTTAAAAATTTTATCTTATAGATAGATAGATCTGATATACAAAATGCATATAAAATATATACAAGCAAATTTAGTTATTAATGAATTTAATTTTGTCGACAGAGCGTTCATTGCTAAATTTAAAAATATTTTGAATACAATTCTAAAATAAAAAACGAATTAATTTATATAGAGAGTAATTTTGTTTTTATTTCACTGACGAAAGTGTTAACGTTTTCCTTGCGGCTATGAAGGAAATTGAATGTTCGAAAATTAAAAATAAATTCAGCTTCGTATTTAATAAAAATTTCGGATTTAAAAAACTAGTTCACATAAAAGGCATTTTGAGAAGCCATGAATCAATAGAAAATATTCAAATTCAGTTTGATCTCATAGCGTACTCTACATTTGCTCTATTTTCATGTGAAGTAGAACGAACATTTTCTGTTCATAAACATATTTTAGCACAAGGACCAGTGTTTTACGATGAATAATTTTAGAAAATCGTTTAATTAAATATTGTTATAATTTGTCTAAAGATAATGTTTGTTATTTTTTAATCTGTTTATTTAACAGCAACATTATTACATCTATATATCTTATGTACATTGTTTTTGTACAAATAAAAGTAACCGTTAACGTGAATCCTGCGCTTTAAGTAAAAAAAAGAAAATCCTTACAAATGCATATTACACTGCATATTTTGATGACTGTTTATGCATATTTGCATGTATATGTTTGCTATTTTTTAGTTCATATATTCCGAACTCCACGTAGAAATTAAAAAATAAAATAATATACTTTTCTACTAAAGTAAAGCTGTTACATTTTTCTTTAAATTCAAATTCAAACATAATGCATACCTAATACTCACCATCAACGTCACACAGAATTGTATCAAAGGAATTTAAAAACTCACTTAACTCTTTTTTACTTAAGGAAGCCAAATCTTTTACCTTATCAGTCATAATGAACTGTTAAATTAGAACGAATTGTAATTAGCCTTGAGTGCACATATTTTGATAAACATACAATGAACTAACAAGAAAAAACGAATAACAGCAAGTGTAATACAGCATATCTTTAAGTTTAAAACTTGCCATATCAGATTCGCTTTTGCCTTTAACATAATAAAACATTTCCATGAATGTCATTATCATATCATTATCTTTCTACAAACTCGTGTTTATCTTAATTGTAACAATACGTTTTCATACGCAGACATGAATGGAACAATAATTTGTTTGTACTCTGTATCCTTTTTTGTTATTTTATTTTATTACAATGTACAAAGTGTAAATATTTTTCTTTCTTTGACCCAACTACTTTTGTTTTATCGTAGCTTCAGATTTCTAAATTTTTCTATATTATTTTTTCAAAAAGCTTTCATTGAACAAAATAAATACCGCCTAGACATTTTCTATAACTTTTTATATATTCTGTTATTTGCTAACTGCTAAAGTAATCATTTTATTGATAATAAAAAATTCATTATATCTATACCATCTAGAGTATCAATTCGGAAGAGAAAAAAATTGGTTGAGGGCTATTTTGAAGTCGAATCTTTCCCAAGGGGACTGATTTTTATAGTCAATCGATAACGTTTTTTATTTTTGTATAATAAAACAAAGACAATTTTCTTTATCGTCATAATAAAGTATTTATTAAAGTATTAAATGAATTACAAATTAGGAATTTATTTTACATCTATTGGATTATTACATATTACTATTACGTATCATTTTCCTCTCGTTTTTTCTCGAGTTTCCTCTTCTTTGAAAAGTGCTGAATACGATTTTCGAGACTTTCTAAATAAATTAAAAATTATTGTAATATTCTTTAGAATTATTGCAAATCAATTACCGCATTTTTGACGAGCCATTAGATGTTTATATTTCCTAGACTTTACTCCAGAAAGAAGAAAATCGTTATTTAATCCTTTTCTTAATTCTGGTTCAAGTTTACCTGTCGGTAGTTTTGAAATATTTTCCATCATATCCTTTAGCATTGTCGNTTATTGTATTTCTGTATATATAAGTAGTACTTTATAGCATTTTCCGCCCAACTTTTGTATAAATGTTGATAAAGGGTTTCTACATTGTCTGAATCATAAACCCAATTTAAAGATTCCTTATAATTACATTCGAATAAATTTAATGGATCCTCAGCAGCTATATTATACTCAGGTTTCCTAAAATATTTTTTCTTAAATAAAATAAGAAAGTATTTCAAAAATAAATTTAATAATAGCACCTTGGATTTTTGTCAGTGTCCAAAAGCTCTTTAACAATTTCCGGACTTTCCCTATTTTCGCCAATAAGAAAAAGTATCGCTATAATACATCGGATTTGATGCCACAAAAAAGCCTTACCCCTTATTTCAAACACATATAGTGAAAACTCTACAACACAATATTAAAATTATTTTCAAACTTTCAACAATAAAGTCCACAGAACCTCCAGAAAGAATATTTTTAGAAATCAGTAGCTGTAATAAGGATCATTTTCATACTTATAAAACATCCTTAATATTTTTCATTTTTAACTGTTTATTTTTACTTTTCACTAATTAATGAGACTATCTGAACTTCTATGCATTTTAAGACTTGTTTATCTTAAACTAAAATATCCTCCTACACAAATTCTAGATGACATTTCAGGTGACTTTACCATCAACGAAATTTCCACCAATATTTCGATTAGAAGGAAAAATATCAACATGTAAAACATTTCTTACAAAATTAACGACGCCATTATTAACATCCATTTTACAAAAATTTCTAAAATCGTGAGTTCCCAGTAAATACTGTGCCCCTTCTTTCATTCTCTGTAAAAACAAGACTGCAATAAATACATCATAATTTGCAAAAGTCCTGTTTGATACCTGAATATCTAAATTTCCTTTATTAAAATAATATTTATAGGTTCTGCTTTCACAATCAAAACGAGCACTAAAATCATTTGGAACAGGGCACCAAGCTATACATCTAATTTCCTTGGGAAGTACCTTATTTAAAACTTTACAATAGTTTATTTCGTTGTCTATATCATCAAGATTATCCTTATTTAGTTTACTTCTTAAATCGATTGAAACTGTCTGAAGGAATAAATTCTTTACCCATTTACACATCTCATATATGTACCTTAATGGTTACCTGCCCAAATGAACTGACTCCTTTATCAGTTCTTCCACATCTGTGATAATTTGATGAAGACCTATTTTTTATAAGACATGTCTTCTGAAGGGCTTCAAAAAGACAATGTTCGATTGTATTAACTGAATCCTCCTGACTAGCATATCCCTGATAATTCCATCCTATGTAAAATAATTTTAACAAAACATGTCTAAATTTGCAGCTGTAAACATGATTGAATTACATATAGATATTGTTATACTGTTATAACTACATACCTACTAAAATCAAAAGGCTTTTGAGTCCTACGCGATTTGGTTAATGAGGAGGAAGACTTCTTTATGATATTTTTTAATTGCTCGTTGTGAACTTCTAGTTTAGTAACTATTTTTATTAATTCCTGTAAACAAACTTCTCACTGAAAAGTAAATATGCTGCATTCACAAACTTACATCTTTAGGGAGCTCAGATAATAGATTCTTTTTAAATGCAAAAAGTTCTTTATCCTTTTCAATTTCACACATCTTCATGCAATTTATCTGTCTATATCTTTCTGAAAAATAATGTTATTGCTTACATAAAACTTAGGTTAGGTTCCGCAAATACACAGATGTACATCTGTGGTGTACATGTTTACAGAATATAATAAGTATAGATATGAAAAATTAAAAATACCTACCCCCAAATAAACAAATTATTACCTTCAAAGCCAAATTATACGAATACTGTAAGATAATTGGTCTGTGTTTATCTATATTATTGGTGTAATAGACATCTTTGTTTCTCTATTGTTGCCGGTGTCGGCCATCATGATTTTCTAATTGTTGTTACAGTCGGCCATTATGCTTTCTAATTGTTGCAGTATTGTTGTCAGTGTCGGCCATCGCGGTTTTCTAATTGTTGTTGGAGTCGGCCATTATACTTTTTAATTATTGCAGTATTGTTACTGATGTGGGCCATTATTACTTATTCTATTAACAAAAATTACGCCGGAAAGGATAACTACTTGACACCGCACTCAAAAACCGTTAATACCATGACATTCTACGTACTTTTTTACATAACTATCACTTGTCATAGCTTAATCAATGCTTACCATTTCCCAAGAATTTCACGAGCGCTTTTTTTATGTTTAACGTATCTTAATGTATTAGAAAAAATTACACCGGAAGATAGCTATTTGACACCGTACTCAAAAACCGTTGGTACCATGTCATTCTACGTACTTTTTTACATTATTATCACTTCTCATAGCTTAATCAATGCTTACCATTTCCCAATTATTTCACGAGCGGTTTTTTATGTTTAACGTATCTTAATGTATTAGAAAAAATTACGCCGGAAGATAGCTATTTGACACCGTACTCAAAAACCGTTGGTACCATGTCATTCTACGTACTTTTTTACATTATTATCACTTCTCATAGCTTAATCAATGCTTACCATTTCCCAATTATTTCACGAGCGGTTTTTTATGTTTAACGTATCTTAATGTATTAGAAAAAATTACGCCGGAAGATAGCTATTTGACACCGTACTCAAAAACCGTTGGTACCATGTCATTCTACGTACTTTTTTACATTATTATCACTTCTCATAGCTTAATCAATGCTTACCATTTCCCAATTATTTCACGAGCGGTTTTTTATGTTTAACGTATCTTAATGTATTAGAAAAAATTACGCCGGAAGATAGCTATTTGACACCGTACTCAAAAACCGTTGGTACCATGTCATTCTACGTACTTTTTTACATTATTATCACTTCTCATAGCTTAATCAATGCTTACCATTTCCCAATTATTTCACGAGCGGTTTTTTATGTTTAACGTATCTTAATGTATTAGAAAAAATTACGCCGGAAGATAGCTATTTGACACCGTACTCAAAAACCGTTGGTACCATGTCATTCTACGTACTTTTTTACATTATTATCACTTCTCATAGCTTAATCAATGCTTACCATTTCCCAATTATTTCACGAGCGGTTTTTTATGTTTAACGTATCTTAATGTATTAGAAAAAATTACGCCGGAAGATAGCTATTTGACACCGTACTCAAAAACCGTTGGTACCATGTCATTCTACGTACTTTTTTACATTATTATCACTTCTCATAGCTTAATCAATGCTTACCATTTCCCAATAATTTCACAAGCGCTTTTTTATGTTTAACGTATCTTAATGTATTAGTAAAAATTACTCCGGAAGGTAGCTATTTGACACCGCACTCAAAAACCGTGACTTTCTACGTACTTTTTTACATAACTATCACTTCTCATAGCTTAATCAATGCTTGCCATCTCCCAATAATTTCACGAGCGCTTTTTTTATGTTTTATAAGTAACTAAACGTATCCGGTAGCACTGTGAGATTCTATAACTTTTTTGCATATTTCACTTCTCATGCAATGTTTATTGTTAGTATTATCTCCCAATATTTGCGCTTTTGTACGTTTAAATTATTTTATATACTTTAGCAATAAATGCCGTGAAGCACATTTTTGTCACCGCACTATGTATTTTAAATTTTTAAAATACCAGATGTAAATTGCATTTTAGTGTGATAAGATATTAATTATCCTTATTTTATATGTGTGAATAGAAAGATATGAAAAAAGGAGTTTATTGTTTATTAGATATAATAACAAATTCTCATCAATATTATAATTCCTTATCACATTGAGTCACTGTCCGCAATATGCTCAGCGATGTCGCCAACAGTCTTTTAATAGGATCGACCGTGTTTACGGTAATACAGATCAGTTCTTCAGTAAATCGTAGAAACGTATGTTGTGTGGGTATATTTACGGGAAATTAATTAGTTTTCAGACGATAGATTCGTCAAAAAATTAGTGTGAATGGTTTAATTAAAACTATGAAAAACATTCCAAATTTGTTAAGTAAGTTGATAATGCATTTATCCATCTTTTATTTGCATGAAATTTTTCTGATAATTTTCTTTAAGAGGTGGTAATCAAGCGTAGAAAATGATGTGCTACCTACCCCTCTCATTTGTTTAATTTTTGTTATTTTAGTGTTTAAATGATATTTACATTCAGCCTACTCAAAATGTTGTTTTTTTCAAAAATTATTAAAATATTTGCAGATTTGAGAACCAGAGGATATAATATTGTATTTTAAATAACTTTTTGATTTTTGATATTTACGTTTATTA